TACATATAAATTTTAATTTTAATTGATTTCCACCAAATATTATACTTGATATATAATTAGTAAGAGCTAAATGTAATTATAATTTATTTACTTTCATGTAAAAGAGATGTATCATTTCTGAACATATCCACTGGCTTAAGAGAAGAGTGAGACTCTAATTAATGGGGAGAGCGATTTTAAAAATTTAAATTTACAGAAAGAATAAATTAATTTGGAATTTCTTATGCAAATTATGTGGGTTATTAATAATTTGTATTGGTTGAGAAAGAGAATTTTTAAGTTCCTAATTATTGTAATTTCTAGTTATTAGTTTGTTGTGATTTATAGTACTTTTTGCTCATCATTTTTAAATAATATATGTTATTCATGTTCTAATTCACGTGAATAATTATAAATATTTTCAGTTGTTAATTTATTGTGAATTCTAGGACTTTTGACGCCATTTTCAAATAATATAAGATACTGCTTTTATTTTAATTAGCCAAGCAAATTTCCATATATGATTTAAAAATATTTTCAGTTGCTAATTATTGTAATTTATAGTATTTCTTATGTAATATTTAATAATACATTTTATTGTATTTATTTAAATTCATGTGACAATGATAGAATTTTAAGAATGAACTAAATTTTTTTAGAAAATTTAATTTCTTTCTACTATATTTTGTAGCTAAAATATAATAAATGAATTATTAAATATCAAAATGTTAAATTTTGAAGGAAGAAATAAAGTGGGAAAAAATAAAAAAGAAACTGTGAGGAACAAATAAAAGAAGGAAATGAGAATTGTTAATGGGCAATTGGATAACAAAAATTAAAGAAAAATAGAAAAATGTGAAATAGGCAGGAACAAGTAATACGTGTCTGCCAAAGAAAAGGCTGCATACACGTGGGGTCCAAAGTGAAGGTACAATTTATGTTACTTTTGGTACAATTTCGTGTTGCTTTGTTTGTCCTTTTGGTACAAGTTGAACTGCATTTGGTATCACATCTTAAAGCTGTGTTAGTCCCAACCCAATAGTACAACTTGAACAGCTTTTGGTATCACTTCTTAAAGCTGTGTTGGTCCTTTCCAACTCTCACTTCTAAATAAGAGAAGTAATAATAATGTAAAACTTTTAGTGTTTGAAGAGTCAAACAACTTCTTTCACTATAATTTTCTCCAACTTTTTCCTTTTTTTAATTTTGAATTATTAGCTATGTTGATTTAGTATTATTTTCATGTAATTTTCAAATATATATAAAATTTTATTTTCAAAAAGTTGAAGAATTTATACCCGAATTCATACTCAAAATAAGTGTTTTGACCCTCCTACTCCGACAGAGGAAGTAACATTTTTGTGAAAACAATTGAGAGAAAAAAAAAAAAACTAGCTTGAAATTGCGATTTTGACTTGAAAAAACAGTTTAGTTCCATCTGCTTTCCAGATAATCTGAAATGAGTGGGATGAATTATTGCAGGTTGATGGCTGCGACCCTGATGGATTCTTTCATCTACGTATTAATAATATGGGTACGACATGATTAATTTTGAGCTCCTGAATGTTTCATATGTGAAACTTTTTCTCTCAAGTCTGAAGTTGATTGCATTTTATTTGCTACTACAACACCTGATAGTCGCCATGTTCTCTTATCTAGGGTCATGTCTTTGGTGAGTTGATGATATGTCATGTCATGTCTTGTCTAATCACCTCTGTCCAATTCTTTTTCGGTCTACCTCTACCTCTCCTTAAGCTATCACCGCCAAGCTCTCACACTTCCTCACTTGGGCATCTGTGCTCCTCCTTCACATGCATGAACCATCTTAGCCTCGCTTCCCGCATTTTGTTTACCATGGAGGCTACTCCCACTTTGCCCTGTATTTCTTTGTTCCTAATTCTAGTATGCCCACACATCCATCTAAGCATCCCATTTCTGCTACTTTCATCTTCTAAACGTGTGAGTTGTTGACTGGCCAACACTCCACATCGTACAACATAGTCGGTCTAACAACGATCCTATGAAACTTACTTTTAAGTCTTGATGACATATTCTTATCACATAGGACACCGAATGTCAGCCTACATTCATCCACCCCTCTCCAATACAACGTGCAATATCCTCGTGGATCTTTCCATTTCCTTAGATTATAGAATCAAGATACTTGAAGCTTCCTCTCTTGGGAGATGACTTGTGTATCAATTCTCACTTCCCCATCCGCCGCCTGTGATGCAATGTTGAACTTGCACTCCATGTACTTTGTTTAAGTCCTGCTTATATTGAAACCTTTAGACTCTAAGGTCTGTCTCCAAATCTTTAGTCTATCGTTGACTCCGCTGCTGAGAACTGGAAATTTACACTTCAATATGAGTCTTTGACGTTTATGTCTATACTATAGTAGAACTAGCATCCTACAGTATGCAATTTTTAATCCTTAGCCTTAGGCTGAGATTTGGTTTTCTGTTGCACTTCATAGGAGCCCAAGTGCTTGTTAGAAATGCTACTGTAGAATGTCATCACATTGATTAGGAAAATTCTAACTTGTAGTTGCGCGTTTTGTCTCTTTATTTTTTGCTGGGGCGCATCTTTGAGGTCCTTTAGTTTTCAACTGTTTTTAGATTCCAAAACATTGGCCAGAATGCATTTCATATTGTTATGTTTCTCTGCTCTTATTACCAAACGCAATGCTCTCATGTTTTGGTGTTGTGTTATCATATCAGTCCTGGGTTGTCTACAAGGAATCAAACTGGATTACTGCAATACTTTTGGGGGTCTTACTAGTATGTTTTGGAAGGTATGACACCCTTATTCCTGTATATAAAACAACTTTACCGGCGATGACTATCTTGCTTTTCAGTTTGTATTATTCTTGTATGGCATCAGAAGGTCATGCTGCATTGTCTTTCACAGCGCTCAATCAGTATCATGCATAAAATGTTTGTCAGTTTGATACTATATATTCAGGCATGGTGATAACCTTTTCTTTATCCTATTCACAGCATTACTTTATGTGGCTACATTCTATTGCAATTCCTGAAGCTTTCAACTCAGGAATCTTTACAGGATCCAATTTACTTTGTCCTATTACAACGCCATAAAAAGTGAGTAGATATTTGCTCAAAGTTCGTCTCTTCTTTATAGTTTATGTATGCATGTCCAATTGTTTGAGGATACTCGTGAAACTGACATATCATGTCCAAGTTTGGTGTTTAGTCAGAGAATATGTTCAAGTGTAATAAATAATTGTTGTTAACAAGAGATAGCCCTTATTTTTCCTTCAGTTTCGTATTGTGTCTATTACTTCGTTCAGAGTAAGCATGCAGTGAAAATATCTAGAAAAATGTGGTTCACAACATTCAAAGAAATGGAAGAACATCTCTTCACAGGTCAAGACAATGGTGGCAACATAGCCTGTACTGCAGGTTGACATATTAAATTAAAAGCTAATTCTTTTTTACTTTTCGCTGTGCATATAATCATAGTGCTAAAGTCAAAGAAAGTAAAATGTGATACTTTGGCTTATCAAACTTTGGCGTTTTGTTCAATATCCTGCAGTATATTACATTATCAGATCATGTAGTTATGAACTGTTAATAACCTGCTCTTGGCAGAAAATAATAGTACTAAAATTTAACTGATACAAATAAGCGTTCCTTTAAAAATAAAATAAGTGTTTCTTGGTGTTTGAAGATTTCCTCATCAATTTATATGATGAGTGACAGCTATTTGTATTAGTTTTCTTTCTGAAAATGACCTTAACTTATAATAATCTGATGAGATTTTGTGATACAGGACTGAAACAGAACAATGGAGGAAGTATTCTCTTTTAACTGCAAGAATTCTATCTCTTGCTTTGGGCAGTCTGATGCTAGGGACACTGATTTATATCCTTGTAACTTATGGTTCTCCATTTCACAGAGATACTTTCACTCCGTAAGTTGTTTGCTTATTTATTTGTTCCTACTTTTAATTAGATACCATCATATCCAAGGAGCTGCGATCTATCAGTTGCAATTTTTTTTGAAATTTTCTCTGGAAAGCAAACGTTACGAGTTTGTGATGAAGTGATACATGTGCATCCCCATACATCAGCCTGTATAGACTTGTGCTTGGTATAAATCTTTCTTTGACATGCAATTTGAGAAGTCAATATCTGTGCAGGTGGATGACAACAACACTAATTGATCACTTTGTCCTTGCTGTACCTCTCTCGGTAAGTTTTCCATTGTATAGCTACCTTTGCTCTTAATCTCATTGGTATTAAAAGATTTCTTCTCTCTGTGACTTGATAAGGAAGGCAAAAGTTTGTGAAATACAATACTATGTATGGCTATGGCATGCAGTAACTTGCCATAAACTTACATAATACTACGTTACAATATTGTTATTTAGGATTTTTCATGTGATTTCTTTCCAGGTCTGGGTTGCATATAAGGAATCAAGTTGGCTAAGTGCAGCTTTTTGGATCATACCAATTATTTTGTTTGGCAGGTACATTTTGATGTTGTATTTATCCTAGTATAGTGCATAAATGGTATCAGTTTGCAGTTAGCTTCATCGATATGTCATCTTTTTTGTTGCTCTATATGGGTGAGAGCAAAATATGATATATTACAACAGCTTTTTTTGGACTATAATTATATCTAATTCATGTTTTATGTTGATTTCCTCAGCACCATCACAAGTGCCTATATTGCTCTTCAACTTTTCAGTCTCTCATCTCAAGATCCCGCGTACCTTGTTCTTTTCAGCAGCAGCAGCAGCAACAGGCAAGTTTGTGCACCATCTGTTTATGCGTGTTCTCATTATGACATAGATTTTGTGTGCATATACCTGTGAAAACGCAAATTGAGAAGATATTACATCCTGTTGATTCTGCAGTTGCAACAATAATGCTTGTACTACTGCTTTTTAAGAAGAAAAAAAACCTCCCTGATATCCTTGTCCTAGTCAAAGTTGTACCATATTACAAAAGGTTTCTTTTGTTGGTGCAAGTGACTGAACAATCTCAAGACTGGTAACAGAATGGAAGTCTAGAATATGTAGTTTTTCATTTTCTTTTAACTGAATATGGGCTACATTTCTGAATATGTGTCACTCAGGCTTAAAGGTAAGTTACAGAAGGGTGGTCAGACCTACTTTGTTGTATATATAAATGGGGCATAGTGTTGGTCGGTCAAAATCAAAAGATGAAGGTAGCAGAGATGAGGATGCTCATATGAATGTGTGGGGTATATTATGAGGGATATGATTAGGAACTTCATGAAGTTATACTAGACAAGGTTGAAGTGGCTTCCGTAGGGGATAAGATGACGGAAGCGAAACTAAAATGGTTCAGACATGTGAAGAGGAGGAGCGCAAATGTACTAATGAGGAGGTGTGAGAGGTTGACTATAGTATGTTTTAGGAGAGGTAGAGATGGGCAAAAGTAGAACGGGTAGGTAATTAGACAAGACATGAGACATTTTCAGCTTACTTAGCACATAACCCTAGATGGGAAGATTTTGAGGTCAAGGATAATGGTCGAAAGATAATTTAGGTATTGTAGTATATATCTTGTTCTTCTAATTTTCACTACTACCAAGTTATTTTGCTATTTGCTGCCAGTTTTTCTTTCTATCATGCTTTGATTACATTTTGTTTTGAGCGGAACGTCTATTAGAAACAACCTCCTCTGCTCCTCAAATATCTTATTTAGCTTTAGCAATTCTATACACATTATTTTATTTTATAATTTCCAATATTATTTTATTTTAGACTAACCTTGTGTTGTAATTGTTCTTATTAGGGAAGAAAAAGAGGGTATAAAGGAACCTCTCAAACGGACAGCATAGGAGAAGGTCAAATGAGCAAGAAGTTATATGGTTTATTTGATCATTGGACTCTTTCATCTTCTTTTTTTCCTAATAAATATGTCAACAATATAAAGTTCCAATCTACATATGTTTGTGTAAAAGAACCAAAATGTTTCTTGTAATAATTATGTTACTGTTTGTTGTGGACTTAAATTTTGTTACATCTTTAGCAAAATGTATCTCCATGCATAAAAGTTATGACATCTCATATTTCATTGACATAAAACATTTTGAACACGATTAGAAGAGTTGATAATTCAAACCCCTTTAAAGTATTCACATTTTTTTAGTTTAATACTTTAATTGAAAAGAATTACTTTTAATCCTTGAATTTTCTATCTAAATATAATCTATTGCTTTGTCAAGTGGTATAGATAGTGATCTCAGTTTTTTTATATAGTGTGTGAGAGTAGAATAAAACATGACAATCACATAAATTGTTTAGATTGCTATCATTAGGACAACAACAATAATATACTCTATACAATTTTATAAGTAAGGTCTGAGTAAATTTATGTGTACACAAAGTAAAATAGTCTAAAATTAATTTAAAAAATAATAACAATAGCAAATAATACGATAATCGAAAATAGCAACAACAAGACGTAACAAAATCTCAGAGATAATACAACTAGTAAAGAAAACTAGTCACTACTTGATTGCCTTCTAACCGTTTATCTTAATTTTAATATCTACTATCTTAATCTTGATCTCCATACCCTCTTTCATATAAGATTATATCCTCGTAAGTTTCTCACATTTTCTCAGTAAGACAATCTTCTTTTCATGTACTCGAATCAACCTCACTTTCCTTATATTATTCAGTACAAAGGTAATCGACATTATCAAAAATATTTTTTTAGCAAGAATAACGTTAACAACAACCAACTCTTTAATAGCACACTAAATCGACATTTTAAGTTTCCCCACCCATATAAGGCTGATAATGGAGCGGATCGGGTTGAAACTTAACCCGCAAAAATTTCATCCAGTGCCGCTCCACTCTGCCCCGCCCCGCATGGTATGTTTTGTTTCGATTTTATTACGGTTACAAATACAAGAAATTTTGAAGTTTTGACACAAATATTCAGTGGACGTGGAGCAATGGCCTTCTCACATTTTCTCCCCTTTTCAATACGCTTCCTTTCTCTCTTCTGCAAAACTCGAAGACGAAGACCGAGTACTCAAAAATGGCAGCAACTTTAGCAATTGCATTGAAGAGTCTCTTCTCTGTGTTGGGATGTTTGATTACAGCCACCGTAATATACACCGTCGCCACTGATGGCCTCCCTTTCCGCATAGAACTCCTCACCTCGTATTATCCTTTTCTCTCTCTCTCTGTCATACTAATTCTACTTTGGATTTCATTTTTTTGGATTATTAATGCTTCTGTTTGGATGAATTGGGGTTTGAATCTTTATCAGTACCAAAAATTGTTGAATTATGGAAACAAAACGACAAAAACCCTATCTAAAAGCTTAAATTATTCAAAAAAGGATCACTTTTAGTTACATTTTTATATTTTGAACACCTACACCTGGATTTCTTTCTCCTCACCTTTACTAGCACTCTGTTTGGATGGTTGTCAAGTATTGTTTCATAATGTATCGTGTTGTATTGTATTGTATTGTGTTGTACTGTATCGTTTTAATGAATACAATGTTTGGATAGATTGTATCGTTCTCTGCTGTTATATAATGTCACACATCAGGAATTTGAGTGATAAGCTTATAAGAAAAGGATGGTACAAGGTAGTGCTACTATGAAAAGGTAGGGTAAAAGATAAAATAGGATTATTAAATAATAAATAAAGACAAAAAGAGAAGAGAATATTAAAGTAATGACACGATCATACCAAGTTAGTCGTTACATAAAATGAGACTTTTAATCGTTACCTAACGATGGATTTAAACGATACGATACAATAGAATTTAAGTAACAATCAAAACAAACATTGTATTTAAATTAACAATATAATACGATGGGTAACAACCATCCAAACAAGGTGTAAAAGTTCAAGCTGCTAGAAACAAGACACTCCCTGGATTTCGATTTGTTTGTCATACTTTCTCTTTTAGTTCGTTTATACAAGAATGCTCCTTTCCTTTTTCAGCAATTCTTTAATTCTAACTTTGCACGAGGCTTGTTTAAGACCACAAAATTAAATGGTATTTTGATTTATTTGACATATCTTTAGTTCAGAAGTTTCTTTTCCTTCCTTCAACTTGGTACCAAGTTAAAATAGGACAATCACATTGAAACCGAGGGAGTAAATTTTTTTTAGTTAATTATGTGTTAGTTATCTTATAGTAGTCCCTCATTCTCATTTTATGTGAAGTTGTTACTGTTTGGAGAGTCCACCACTTTTTTTATTTCAACTTTCTCAAATTTCTTTTGAATATTTTGAATGATTAGCTATGTTGATTTGCACTACTTTTCGTGTAGTTTACAAATATAGCAGTTCTATTTTTAAAAAAATGAAAAATCTATACCCGAATTCATACTCGAAATAAGATTTTTGACCCTTGTACTCCGACAGAGGAGTAACAGTTTTTTGAAAACGGTTAAGAAAAAGTAACTTACTTGAAATTGAGATTTTGACTTGAAAAATAGTTTAGTTCATCTGTCTTCGTGATGCTGTTATTAATACCACTTACCTTATAAAAAAAAAATAGTTTAGTTCCACTTCCATCTGCTTTCCAGACAATCTGAAATGAGTGGGATGAATCTTGCAGGTGGATGGCAGCTACCCTGATAGATTTCTACATCCACATAATTGTTATATGGGTATGCCATGATTAATTTAATGCTTCAAAATGTTTCATATGCGAACCTTTATTCTGAAGTCGATTGCATTTTATTTGCTACAGTTTTACTAGCATTGGATAATAAGGAGAACATGTTGAATTTGGCGCACCTACTATGTTAGATGTTAGAGATATAAAGGGTATAGAAGTTAGAGCTATAAATGGTATAAAGGTTAAGATTCTCAGACATTTGTGCAATACTATAGAAGAATTAAGTTCCTATAGTGTGCAATTTTTAATCCTTAGCCTTAGGCTGAGATTTGAAGTTTGCCGTTGCACTTCATAGGAGCCCATGGGCTTGTGCAAATGCTACTATAGAATGTCATCCTGCAGTTTAAGCAAAACATTGATTAGGAAAATATCTCACCCTGTAGTTACCCTTCTTAGCTCTTTATTTTTTGCTGGGTTACATCTTTGAGGTCCTTTGGGTTTCAATTGCATTGTAAACAATATTTTTATTCCAAGACATTGGCCAGAATGCATCGCATGTTACTATGTTTCTCTGCTCTTATCATCTAAAGGCAAAACCGCAAAAGCAATGCTCTCATGTTTTGGTGTTGTGTTATCAGTCCTGGGTTGTCTACAAGGAATCAAACTGGATTACTGCAATACTTTGGGTGGTCTTGCTAGTATGTTTAGGAAGGTATGCCACCCTTATTCCTGTATATATAACAACTTTGATGTACTTTTAGTTTCAGATGATGACTGTTCTTCAAGCTTTCTCTTAGCATCTCTTATATGACTGAATTCTCAGGTTGAAATTTTTCACATATTTTGAACAGTGTGACCAAATTTATTCTTCCCTTGGTTAGTACTGTAGTACATTCTCGTGAAGAATGCTCTGATGGCTTGTTATATTTTTTCTTTCAGGGCTATAGGTTTCTATCTGTTGACATACACTGTTTTTTGTCTTCACCCATGGGCATTACAGTCTTAGGATTGATGTTCCCAATTATTTATATCTCGTGTTCGCTGCTATGAATTCCCTTTGCATATAGATATCTTCCTTGATGATATACCCAGTCAATCAATCAATCGATCAACTATACCTCAAACTGAACTAGGTCCGCGATTTGAATTCTCTACATATTTCTCTCTATTTGGGCCCACATCATTCCAATACTAGCTAGAAGTTTGTCTTGTAAGGCAAAGTTCCAGAAAATCTCTAAATGTCACACTTATGAACCTAATATTTGTGCAACAGCATAAATTAAGCCTCAATGCACACTAGCTAGTATTATTGATTTGGATCTTTTCTTCCATGTTGTTACTTTTTCAGATTTGCAATGATTCCTAGATTTTGTAGGTCTTTTCAGACAACCTCCTCCATGCGATTTTAGGTCTTTCTCATCCCTTTCAGCACCTTCAATCATGTTACACCAGTTGACTGGTGTATATTTGATGTATTTTAGGTCTATCAAAGACGATTTTCTCTTACTATATCCTCTATGTGTGCAACTGCACCCTTTGTTTCAACGTATATTCAATTTTGTATGACTGCACATTTACCTTGATGTCTTTTGGCATCTTGTATTGCATAGGATACAAATTTTCTTGCATTCTAGTGGCGATGACTATCTTCCTTTTCAATTTGTATTATCCTTGCATGGCATCAGAAGGCCATGTTGTCATTTCCCTTACAAAGTTCAATCAATATCATGCATAAATGTTTGCCAGTTTGTGATTATATATTCAGGGACGGTGATAACATTCTCTCTACTCCCTTTACAGCATTGCTACATGTGGCTACATCGTATTGCAATTTCTTAAGCTTTCAACTCAGGAATCTTTACAGGATCCAATTTATTTTGTCCTATTACGACGTCAGGAAAAGTGAGTAGATATTTGCACAAAGTTCTTTTTTCCTTCATAGTTTCTGTTTTTATTTCTCTCTTTGGAGACCAGAAAAAGAAAAAGAGAGAGTTCAATTGGAAATGATATTTAGTTCATATATTTTCATGTATGCATGTCCAACTGTTTGAGGATACTCGTGAAACTGAAATATCATGCACAAGTTTGGTGTTTATTTGGAGAATATATTTGCAAGTGTAATATATAACTGTTGTTAACACGAGCTGACTCTTGTTGTTTTTGCTTCAGTTTCGTATCATGCCTGTTGCTTTGTTCAGAGTAGGCATGTAGTGAAAATGTCTAGAAAAATGTGGTTCTCAGAATAAAAGAAATGGAATTACATCTCTTCACAGGTCAAGACAATGGTGGAAACATAGCTTGTACTGGGTCTGGCATATTTTTATTCATTGTTCATTGTTTTACTCTTCATTGATCATATACTTATAGTGGTAAAGTCAAAGAAGGTAAATATCACACTTAGGTTTATCAAACTTTGGCATTTG